CTGGGGGTGCTGTGTGTGTCTGAGGGTGCTGTGTGTGTGTGTGTGTGTCTGGGGTTGCTGTGTGTGTCTGAGGGTGCTGTGTGTGTGTGTCTGGGGGTGCTGTGTGTGTCTGGGCGTGCTGTGTGTGTGTGTCTGGGTGTGCTGTGTGTGCCTGGATGTGCTGTGTGTGTGTGTCTGGGTGTGCTGTGTGTGTCTGGGGGTGCTGTGTGTGTGTGTCTGAGGGTGCTGTGTGTGTCTGGGTGCTGTGTGTGTCTGGGGGTGCTGTGTGTCTGTCTGGATGCAGTGTGTGTGAGGGGGCTGTTTGGGAATTTATTTTAAATATATTTTTTAAATTAATAATTAAAAAAAAGTTATGTTCCCCCCCTCCCCCTCCCCCCGTTCTGCCATCCTTCCCTGGTGGTCCAGTGGTGAGAGTGAACTCTAACCTGCAGGCTAGAGTTCACTCTCGCGAGATCTGGTAACCGCGGCAACGCTCAGAATCCCGCGAGAGGACCCGGCGGAGCTGCTTGTTAGATCTCCGCCGGTCCTCTCTCCTGCCTCCCTCCCTCCCTCCCCAGCCGGCGGCCGCATCTCCATGCCTGTGGGCTGGTGAGGGAGATCTCTGATCTCCCCACCGGCCCATGGAGGCACACAGCAGGGCTGGCGCTCGGGTAGCGCTGGCCCTGCAGGGGCTGGCAGGGGAGATCCTGTGATCTCCCCTGCCGGTCTCGACCCATTGCCATCGCGGCCCACCGGGCATTTTCCCGGTATGCCCGATGGCCAGTCCGGGCCTGATCACATTGGAACTTCCTCTTTCTCTTTACAGGAACTTGGATTCAAATATCTGTGTCCTATTATTCAATAACGAATATGATGAGATTAACACGGGACTCATCATGAGACAGGCAGCTGAAATCATTACCATGGTCCTGTATTACTGTAAAATCATACAAAACAAGAGACTCATACAGCAGACAGAAACCCAATAATCCATCCAATCTGCCCAATTACAAACCATCCTACTTCTAGCAAAAAGTACACAGCCAATACTGCCGGGGTTATTCACTGAAGTGAGATCTCAAAGTGAAGTTCCAATTTCAGTTTAAAGTAGCCAAACTGGAGCATAGCTGACTGGGAGAACTTTTTAGTTTCTACTATTTTGTTCTAAAATGTACATTTTCACTTAGAATTTACTGTTAATTCCTGACACATCTCGATTTAGTTTACACCCTGTGTATGTTAATATTCAATATTTAATTTTATTAAACGCCAAAATATTTAGCAATGATGTATCACTAGTAAGAAAAAAAAAAGAATTATTGAAGATAATATATAGATTATTATTATTATCAACACTAAATTTAACAATATTTTTGTTATATTTATTGTTGTGTATAAAATGAATTACAAAAGCTATGAACTGATATATTTATTTGAAATAAGTAAATGTCGCCTATATAATGAGTGAAACAAAGTGCAGGAGAACATTGAGAATGGACAACTCAAATAGGACCTGCTCAGCTACCAGAGTACTTTATCTTACTTGTGCCATTACAGATAGAACAATTTCCATTTGTATATTAGACTGATTCCACCCATAAAGTTCTCCAGGTGCAAAATGCTGGAGTTCCTTCTGCACAAGTGATACAGCAACCCCAGAAGTAAGCTTTGGACTTCATTGGGTCTCATCAATGAGGTATGTCTGATACTTATCTAGGGATATGTGCAAGAGTCTTATTACTAAAGGGAGACCCAAAAGAACACAAAGAAAGGACAAAACTAGCTTGCTCCCCCAATGGAAGCATTTCAGCTTTGGACTACCCTTTTGGGTAATATTGTAAGTGATCAACACTTATTTAAATTAGTTTTAGTTGAATTGTCATACCTCTCAACAGGTGGCCTTTAGAAACTCTGGACAGGGCGTATGGGTGGGGACCTGAGATGGTGCTACCAGTTACATGAACAGCATCACTAGTGACTCCCCAAAATGGGCAGGTTTGCCCCTCAAAATTGGGCAGTCTCATCCATTAAAGAGGCTTGACCGTCTGAAAAAGCGGAGAGCTTAGCCACTGACAAACTGGTTGGCCAGCCCCCAGCCTTCAGGACCATGCAGGAGCACTATGGTACTAGAGCCTGCTTCCCAATGTGAGTGCGTTTAATGATACCCTTGCACTATGCTGCTAGGAGATAGTTTCCTGGTGTCCTCATAGGCAGAACACCAGTGAACTAAAGCAATACTGTAAGACAGGACCCCAAAATCGGAACTGTCCAAAAAGCAGGACAGGTGGGAGACATGCATAGTGGTACACTGTGCGCGAAAGATTTCTCTAAAGTAATATCAAGATTACTTTAAGGTGCTATTATATTACCCAATTCTTGCCTGTGAAACAAGAAAAATACAGAATGATGGGCATTTCTTTTTTCTAATATGGAGTCAGCAGCTAGTTAGTGATAGGTTGTCTGGATATGATTATGTGGTTTGCGTGACAACACCTGCTAGAGATACAGTGGTTTGACCTGAGAAAAAGTTAGCGTAGCAACGGAAATCATAGGGTGAATGCATTTGCTGTTGAAGTTCGACTGAGCAGTGATATGCCTATGTTTTATGTTAGGTTGCATGCAATAAGTCAGTAATTTATTAACCAGTGAGTCCTGCACTGTGTTCTATGTATATTGTTACAGAGGTGGTTAAAGTGAACCCGTAAAGGAAAATGTAACTTCACTTACATTGAAAACATCATATATTACAAAGATACATGATGCATCAAGGTAAATTTTTGAGATATACTCATGTCACCTCTGTTCCAGTTCTGCAACGCGGGTGTTACTCTTCATGTACCACCCACATCTGCTCCTGCTCTGGTCTTCTTTGAATTGCCCAAGTAGGGCAACCTTCCTAATTTGCCAGCATGCTGGGGTCTGAACAGAATGACGTCACTACCTGAGCCACTGCAGGTCAGGGAGTTTCCACAGCAACCTCAGAACATAATCTGTGGCTGCTTTCCTAGGCTTGGGAGAGCAAAAGGACCACCTGTGAGTGGTCATTTCTGCTCTCCCTTGTCAATCAAATCGTCGTCACACTAGACACTCTATTATTTACCACTATGTACACAGTGCATATAATTCTGTGCGTAGTATGCATATATACATGTATATTAATATATGTGTAAATGTTATAGGTATATACATATATATATATATATATATATATATATATATTACTAATACACACATTAATATATTATATAAATTATATAAGGTATTACTGTCAGAATAACATCAGTTACAACTTCTATCTGGACATTGTGTTAGCAGTAATGCTAGCAAAATGTATATATTGTATATATTGAAAGCTTTCTTTGCCCCCCCCACCCCCCATTTAGTGCATTGTGTTTTACCTTACTGGATACCAAAACTAGAATCCAGAGAGTATTCAAGGTGCACTCCATGCACCGTCACCACTTGTGAGCCTTGGCAGAGTTACAGCGCTGCGGAGGGTAGTGCTGCGGAGGGTTCCTATATACCCAGCCCTTAATCAGCGCATCACAGTAGAAAGGTACATGGCATGTGCACAAGTCTCTGTGTGTTCATGGATTTTATATCTGCGTTCCCCGTCATGGGGGCCTGCACTGTAGGATGGCATGGACAGGGCCAGATTAAGAGCCCTTGGGCCTGGTGCTGACAATTATGATAAGCCTAATTATAAAATTGTATCAACAGAAAACACTAAAACAGTCCTACCTTCCAATCGTCATGTATCTAGTGGAGATGCATGTCTCACATTCACCCTGTGCTAATGTCTCGCATTCATCTTTCAAGTAAATCCATACCCCCTTACAGCAGTATCTGGGGAAGCAGGATTTCGGTGGATGGGGTAAAAGGGTGTTCCACTGACGAAAATTACGTAATCAAACTGCTCAGAGGGGCAGACATGCCCAAAAAATCTGCCCGAGGAATTAGAAAGTCAGCCTGGCGTGAATATATGTCAGGCTGCCTGCCAATCATGCCGGCTGGCCAACTAAGGGCATACTAGGCAGACAGTACCCTGAGCTTGGCATAAATACATCTAATGATGCGCTCGCTCCACGCTTTCTAAGGACTGTCTCCTAGCACTCATTTGTCCCCTGCTCTCCTTACCCTTACTAGCAGGTAGAAGCTCCTTTTACACAGTATGTGACAGAGAAAAGGTGTATGTAGTGAATTTTGAAGAAAGTGAACATGTCACAGAGTTAGACTGAAGCAACAAGAGCATTTGCATAGTGCACAAAGTCGGCTTTACCGTAACTAATTTCATTATCAGCCAGTCCACACCAGTTTTTTATTCCCTACGTCCACATGTGTAGAGTAGTAAAAAAAAAATATATATATATATTTTAGCAATGGGCCTATTTCATGGGCATGGCCTGAAGCTGCAGCTCCATCAGCCCCTATTTTAATCCAGCCCTGGGCATAGACCGTCAAGTTGTGGTTACGGGGTTAATCTAGGTGAAATAAGTTTTTCGGGTACTGCCACATAGGAGAATAGCAAAAATATTTTTAAAAATCCACAGATATATATGACAAATAAATTGGGGCCCTAGGTTCTTCTGTCCTGACTCTACTTGTGTAACTGTCTATGTATGCAAATGTGTCAGTGTATCTGTGTGTGTTTAAGAGTGCCTATTTTGTGTGATGAAAATAATAAAAACCATGTTACTCATTGTTGTCTATTTTCTGACTGTGCTTCCAATTCCTCCTGAACCTGTCCCACCTCTATGACTTCTTTTTTTCTTCATTCTTCTTCCTTGCCTGCTGCCCCTCCAAACCTCTGCCTCTGGCCTCTCTAAGGCATGAGGGTGAGATAAGGGCCACAGGGGAGTGGTAGCAGCCCCCACTGTCATTTTGGTGGTCAACTGAACTTTTGGCCACTGGGCATGACCCCGGGGGCTGCCTCTGCCTGATGGTCCTAGTCTGGAGCTCCTCTGGCCTGGAGGAGTTGTGGCTCTGGGAGAAAAGCACTGAAAGCAATGTGGTGTTCTCCATCTCTATCATGCTCCCTCAAAGTTCCCACAATTCACAGCACAGCCACATCTCTTTGATGTGGCTGTGCCGGGAATTGTGGGAACTGTGAGGGAGCATGGTAGAGAGGGAGAACAACACATTGCTGTTCTCACTCAGTTCTCCTGGGCTGGCCTGTCTGTTTGACAGCTGCATGGCTGTCATTACTATGGAGTGTGTAGCCGGACTTGCCAGACGGCCATCCGGCCCGGTGGCACCACCATCCTCACTGGGGCCACATCCAGCCCCTTTGAGTGTGCCGCACATTCAACCTCACCGCGGCGGCTCCCACTCTGCCTCTGCTTACTTCCTCATACTCGGTGGGAATCCGCATGGCCTCAGGTGCCGCGGCCCACCAGGAAATTTCCCAGTATCCCGGTGGGCCAGTCCGGCCCTGCATTTGAGTGTCAAGTCCCCCAATCTATCTAGATACATCTGAGGCAAAGTAATATCTTTCTCACGTTGTATTACTTTACAGAGTTTTCTTGTCATTTGCAAACACTAAAACATGACTTTCAACGCTTATTTAAAAATTGTTTATAAATATGTTAAATTGAAGAGGTCCAAGAACAGAACCCTGAGGGACACCACTTCTTTCTGTGAATCCAGGTCACAAAGTCCACAGGATATCTAGATTCCCAGAAGGAGACAGTAACTCTTAATAGCTTGCACTTCAGATCAAAGACATTGGTGAGACCCAACCAAATATTGTGTCTGGATATTTGAGGATTACAGTCAGGATTGTTCTTTGTATATTTTTTTCACATTTCTACAATTTATATGTTTCTCTTTTTTTGGGTGACTTCTGTGCTTTCCTTTTTCCATTTTTTTATTATTATATCATTAATTGGTTTACACAAAGACAAGAGAGAACAGATTACTCATGAATACGGAATTTCTTGAACTGTTTTATATAATCTGGAGGGACTTCAAATATAACCTTTTGACTTTAGTACAATTTAATGTGTCAATGTAATTTTGCTAAAAGGGTACTAGCCTATTCTTTTGTGTCTATATATATTTTTTTATCTTTTTGTTGTTTAGTTTATATGCTCACGAAGGTGATGGTAGAGGTTTTAACTTACACTCACACTGTTGTTTAAGAAAATCTCTTATAGTGTAGTCTGTTATAACAGATATTAAGCACATTGCACGTTTTCCAAATCCTGTGGTAAGCACATTGCACGTTTTCCAAATCCTGTGGTATAAACAGCTAAAAATAAAGGTCCAATTCATATACTAAACAAAATGTGGTTTTCTTGATATTTGTGTATTTGTGGATGTCCTAGTAGTTGGTGGCCCAGATACCAGAATCTTAGAACAGTAGAGTCCCAGCATCTATTATATATATATATTTTTAGGAATTTGCATATTGACCAATTTCTTTGAGTTTGAACACTAGCATGTGTCCATGTGTCTCCTTTTGCCACCCAGCCCTCCAGGTGTCTCCTTTCTGCCCCCTGACCCTCCATGTGTCTGCTTTCCTCCCCTGTCCCTCCATGTGTCTGCTTTCCTCCCCCATGATCCTCCATGTGTCTCATTTCCTCCTTCCAGCCCCTCTATGTGTCTCCTTTCCTCCCCCCTGACCCTCCATGTGTCTCCTTTTCTCCCCTCCCCCACCACCCAATGTGTTTCTTTCCCTCCCTAGTTCCTCCTTGTGTCTCTCCCCCATCCCCCTCATCTCCATGTAGCGTGATCAAACAGACCGCTGTACCCGATTTGACAAGAAGTGCTCTCTCAGTGAGCACTTCCATCAGACCGCAATGCACTCGACCATGCTACATACAGTGACCAGCAGGAAGGGAGCACTCTGCTGTGTGCTCCCCGTCTGCCAGTCACCCGGCAACCATGCATCCCGGGCCAGTTCAATTGTGCACGGCCCTGAACTTATGCCGGTTGCACGTGTCGACAGGGCGTACCTGAAGTGACGGGCCCAGTCACAGCTGCAAACCCTTGGACCACTCTAGGTATGCCACTGCAAAGGGTGCAATATTGGTATAACCCCCCCTCCCCTGTCCAATGGCTACACAAATAATGAAGAAGGCTCTAGAGCAGAAATGTTGGGTGTTTCTCAGTGACTCCTGTCACTACAGTAAGGTATTGTATGCAGATGTTTGTATTTTTTACCTTGCATGTGCAATCATACACTTACTCTTTTTGTGAAATACAAGATATATATTGCTAGCTTTAGTTGACAGTAATGTATTAGGACAAACTCCCCTTCCCACGTGAGTTTGCCACGAGCTCCTGGAGGAGCTTGCTTGCCAGCCTCCTGCCCACAGACTATGGGCCCTGCAGGGAAACCTGTAAAAGGCTACCAAACCTGACCAACCTGGGTGGCAAAATTATGACTTCCATAAAAATTCCGAACCCCTGAACCGATCTGGGTGATTTTTGGATATGTTGGTCACCCAAATCGGGGCTATAGGGGGTTTTTGTGTGTTTAAATGTAATTTGGGGGTTTTGTAAAAATGTATGTTTTTCTGTGCTTGGAGATAATTGGATTAGATTAGTACAGTTCCCGATTCAATTATCTCCCAGGCACAGAGGAGGGATTATTTTATTTGTGTATGGGAGTGTCCTGGACCTGAGAGCCAATGTCGTTGTGTAGTTGTTTTTACTGTAGTCTATTCTCAGGTCCAGGGCAGAGTGCCCCTTGCATGGGAACTTGCATAAAAGGCCAGCTGTAGCTACCGATAAATACATTTCTGCCTACCTTCAACATAGAGTCTCATCTCATGTGTGGGGGGAACAGCTGTATCTGCTCTGGGGATTGCTATATCACGATACTCACCTGGGTTATAATCACTTGATATTGTAAGAGCAGCCTGTTACACTCTCTGGAGTAGGAGAGGTCTGCCTACTGGAAGCTGGATCCTGGTCTTGGGTCCAGGGAGGGTGGAGGACGGCGAGACCCCAGCCAAGCTGCAACACTGGAAGTGAGGACTACGGTGCTGATGCTGTCTGGTGCGGTGCTTGTGGTACTTGGTAAGCACTAAGGAAGCAGCGATTGGCAGAGGCACCCGGTCGGGGTGTCAGGCAGTCCATCACATGTATCTCTATAGAATATTTTATATTTACATTAAACCATATATGGTGTGCAGTGGGAATTTTTGTTTTCCTGGCACTATAGCTTCCCCTTCCTTCATGCTCCTCCCCTGGGATGCAGAAGGGGTTAAAAAAAACCTTCTGTCACTTACCTGACTGAGGACGTCCAGCATCAGTAAGGCATCTAAAAGTTGCCTAACAGCCCGGAAGTCCCTTTAGTGGCTGTCTGGGAGACAGCCATTAGAGGTGGGGTTAACCCTGAAAGGCAATTATTACAGCTTCTTTAAACTGCAATAATTAGATTTGCTTTGTTAAAGGACCACTATAGTGCCAGGAAAACATACTCGTTTTCCTGGCACTATAGTGCCCTGAGGGTGCCCCCACCCTCAGGGTCCCCCTCCCGCCTGGCTCTGGAAGTGGGAAAGGGGTTTAAACTTACCTTTTTCCAGCGCTGGGCGGAGAGCTCTCCTCCTCCGATCCTCCTTCTCTCCTCCCCGTCGGCTGAATGCGCACGCGCGGCAAGAGCTGCGCGCGCATTCAGCCGGTCTCATAGGAAAGCATTCATAATGCTTTCCTATGGACGCTGGCGTGCTCTCACTGCGAAAATCACAGTGAGAAGCACGCAAGCGCCTCTAGTGGCTGTCAATGAGACAGCCACTAGAGGAAATAGGGGAAGGCTTAACCCATTCATAAACATAGCAGTTTCTCTGAAACTGCTATGTTTATGAAAAAATGGGTTAACCCTAGCTGGACCAGGCACCCAGACCACCTCATTAAGCTGAAGTGGTCTGGGTGCCTAGAGTGGTCCTTTAAGGGACCTGGGACATTGCATCTAGACCACATCAATGAGCTGAAGTGGTCTGGGTGCCTATATTGTCCCTTTAAACAGAAAACTGGGCTTGTACTGCAGCCATTGTACTACATTTATCCCACAGTGTTCCCTTCCACCCACATCTATCACTTGCAGCATGGTTAGAGGCATGCAGACAAAATACGGTAAATTAAACTGAGCTGTATGTATTTCTGTTCATTAAAGAGAACATCAGACAAGGTTTAAATGTCATAGTGACCTGGCAACTGATTATTGATGAGTTATGTTCCAACCTTGGGGCATGACATATTTTTTAGTCTTCTGTCTAAGGAAATTGCTTCTTTGTTGAATTTTTCTAAACCTTTTGTGAAATGCCAGAAGTGATGTTCTAAAGCTGCAATCACAAAAGGGTTTAGTCACTAAACTGCAAATTGTGAGACAATCGATAAGGTAGGGTTAGAAATTCCAGGCCAAAAACAACAAGCTGGTAACAATTCTCAAAATCAGCTATAATCACATGTCCCCTGTTATGGTATATGATTTGCAATTTCAACACAGCTTCCAGTTTAATAAAAAAAAACAAAAAACTCAAAATAGAGCACGGTTTATACAACTTTAATTATCTTGGTATTATCAGGATGCATGAATAATTCAGAGGGTACCATGATGTATACATAGATAATCCGCTTGTTTACTGAAAAAGTGACGAAGGGAAAATATTAATAATTAAAGTTTAACGAATGGTTTATTTCAGAAGGTTTAAATCAAACCATTGTTCAAACATAATTCTCCTTGTGCGGTTGGCATTCTGTTTGGAGGTAAGTTGCCTTTTCCACAGTTCTGTGCCATCACGGCAGGAACTAGTCTAATTATTGTTAAATAATAGATTAAAGCATGAGGCTTTTAACACCACTGACACCGGAATTAACCGTCAGGATGTGCTGAAAGGCTAGATTTACTACAACAGATTTTCCGACTTAAGTGAGAATTTACAAGGGAAATAGGATCTGCAGGTCAAACAGCTGAGCTGTAATTCAGTTTTTATGCACTTGTCTTATAAACAACTTGGAAAAAAGACAATATAAATGGGGGAAATGTAACCAGGTTCAATTTGAGCTGGCCTGACCATGGCCATTACAGACATACATGTCAACTGTCCCTCATGCATAGGACAGATTTGGAGCCCTGGAATTTTATTCTGTGGGCACCAGAGAATGTCACCAGAAAGCGC